TGTTTAGTGCCATTGCAGATCATGACATTTTTTACTTTTAAGGACCCCTTAGTCATAAGCAGAGCATTTTTACTCTAAAATGTCAATATCTGCATTAGCACCAAAAATTCCTGAAAGTCTGCAAGTGCCCAATTATCAACGAGATAGGCTCTGGATGGTCAAAAATGTCAAAATTGTAATTATATCTATTGGTACCAAAAATTACTCAAAGTCTGTGACTGTCCAAGAATAAGTCGCAGACCAAAAAATTGGACCCTTGATGGTCCCTAGAAGTAAAAAATGTCATTATCTGCCTTGACATCAAAAATTCTTGTGAGTGCCTCAGAATCAGTCGCAGACTAAAAAAAAATTCAGGAAGGTCCCAATAAGTCAGAAATATCATTTTCTGCATTGACACCAAAATTCCTGAAAGTCTGCGAGTGACTCAGAATCAGTCGCAAACCAACGAAAGAGACTCAAGAGGGTCCTTTTGATGTTCAAATGTCATTATCGCCATTGGCACCGAAAATTTCTGAAAGTCTGCGAGTGTTCCAGAAACCCCATCGCACACGCAGACCAACGGGCGAATAATGGACCTTTGGATTGGCCCTAAAAAATTCACAAAGTCATTATCTGGCAATTAAACCTTTACAAAAATTCTTTGAAAGTCTTGCGATGTCCCAAACAGTCGGAGACCCTGATAAAGAAAATAACACTCTTTTGGTGTCATAAAAATTCTATTATTTGCATTGGCACAAATAACAGAGTGGCCCAAATGATAATCAGTTGCAGCCAAACGAATTTTATACTTTTTATTTTTAAGAATTGCCCTGCTAAGGGTTTTGGGCCTAACCCATTCTAGGCATTTCCAGAAGAAACATTTTTCACTAATTTTTTCAGAATGCTATGCCTGGTTGCCTAAGAAGCTGAGCTTTTTTTTAACACTATATTTAGGAATGCCCTGCTAGATTGCTTAGCCAGCTGAGCATACCAGCAGAGCATTTTTCGCACTATATTTTGAGATTGCTTAGCCAGCTGAGCTTACCAGCAGAGCATTTTTACACTATATTTAGGAATGCTCTGCTGGATTGCCTTGCCAGCTGAGCATTTTTACACTATATTTAGTAATGCCCTGCTAGATTACCTAGCCAGCTGAGCATACCAGCAGGTCATGTTTACACTATATTTTGGAATGCCCCGCTTGATTGCTTAGCTAGCTGAGCATAACAGCAGAGCATTTTACATTATATTTTGGAATGCCCCGTTAGATTGCTTAGCCAGCTGTGTATAACAGCAGAGCATTTTTACACTATATTTTGGAATGCCCCGCTAGATTGCTTAGCCAGCTGTGTATAACAACAGAGCATTTTTACACTATATTTAGGAATGCACTGCTGGATTGCCTAGCCAGCTGAGCATAACAGCAGAGCATTTTTACACTATATTTTGGAATGCTCCGCTAGATTCCTTAGCCAGCTGAGCATAACAGCAGAGCTTTTTACCCTATATTTTGGAATGCTCCGCTAGATTGCTTAGCCAGCTGAGTATAACAGCAGAGTATTTTTTACACTATATTTAGGAATGCCCTGCCAGATTGCCTAGCCAGCTCAGCATTCCGGAAGAACATTTTTATACACTATATTTTGGAATGCCCCGCTTGATTGCTTAGCCAGCTGAGCATAACAGCAGAGCATTTTTTGCACTATATTTTCGAATGTCCTGCTAGATTGCTTCGCCAGCTGAGCATACCAGCAGAGCATTTTTACGCTATATTTTGGAACGCCCCGCTAGATTGCCTAGCCAGCTGAGCATACCAGCAGAGCATTTTCACAAAAATTGAATGGGCTGAAACTATTGGAATAAAATCAACGGAATCTAATATGGTCAACTTTCTGCATGCCAATTTTCAAGACGCTATCCGAAATTTCGCAGTGTCGTGTTCTACCTTAAGCAGAAAAATGCGCCTTGCGTTATCATTGATATTTCGTGCGCCATACGTTATCATTTTCGGAAAATGCAGCGGTTATTGTAGCCAGAATGGGCATGGATGCTTAGATGACGACATATTACAACTTTTTAAAGTCATTGGTTTCATTTAATATACATATATGTAAAAGAAACGGTGAATTTGAGAGAAGAAGCCGTACGTTAATTATCACGATCAAACCGGTGGAAAATTCCCTCGCTTCGAATCTGATGATGCTTATTTCAGATGAAGTACGGGACAAAATATCATGAAATAAAATTCTGTGATGCTCGGAAAATTGTGGAGATGGGTATTTTTATGCACCTTTACACTAAAAACATTACAAATTTCAGAGATAAAAGGAAAACTTTACTTTTAGGCTGTATCCGCCATCTTGTTTGTTTGCGTGTTTCTGTTTTCTACCTTTAATTTTCCCCCAAACCAAATTTTAAAAACAATAAAGTTTTTGGTAAAAATTTTAAATTAATCCTAAGCATACAATAAAAATATTTCCCTTTAAAGGTAAAAAAAATTTAAAATAAAAAAAAAAAATTTAATTGTTTAAATTAAATAAATATTTTTCAAAAAGCTTTCCCAACGTTTCAATTTGCTTAAAAAATTTTTGGGAAAAAAAGGAAAAATTTAAAATTTGTTATTCCCTTACTTGAAATTACTGTCCGAAAAACGCAAATTAGTATTTTGGACAACAATGTAATATTAAACTAAAGGCATTTGAGCCGTGTCATGACAAAACCAACTTAGTGGGTTTAAGACCAGCATGGATCCAGACCAGCCTGCGCATCTGCGCAGTCTGATCAGGATCCATGCTGTTCGCTTACAAACTCTAGCTATTACAAGTAGAGAAACTGATAATGAACCATTATGTTGGTTTTGTCGTGACGCGGCTCATTTATGCCTCAGAAACATTTTCTTTAACTTCTTCAGAAAGGGCAAAAACGTGAATTTTATAATGTTTAAATAATTGTTTTGGAAAATTTTAGATGCTTGTTACCTGAACAAAGCAGCAATAAATGTGAAATGATTTGTCATAAAAGTAGCAAATTGTAAACAAATTGTATTTTGACTTAAATACAAAAAAGCTAAACCACTGTGCCCCCCCCCCCCCCAAAAAAAAAGAAAGAAAAAGAAAGGAACAGAAGAAAAAGATGGTTCAGGTATTTGTCCAATGGGTATCTTTTTGAATACTAAAGATGTACATCAATATAAAAAGTTTTTGAAAAATAAAAGTAAAATTATTTCTATGGCACATTGGGCCTTTAAGAAGCCTGTCTGCAATATTTCGTAAACAATTGGGAATTTTGTTGTAAATCATGATAAGTAGTGTACATGTGATTATATTCTCAATCGTGGACTGGTATTTTTGATTTTTTTTTCATGGGAATTTTACGACGGTGATTTTCTTTGATTTAAGTTGATAATAAATTCTGATTAATGATATTACTTCCTAGGTCTGATCAACCTACACGTATCTATATAGAAATCATATTTAAAAATCACTTTCAACTTTGTACTATACTGCTGGCGAGATGAGTTTTGAGGAAATAAGTAATTAATGTAGTAATGATGAGATAATTAGATTATAAATATTTTAAGTGCATATGTCCCTTGTTTACAATGCTATATTCATATCTATGTATGCCATATTTTGAAAACGCTGACGCAAATCCTTTTTACGTATCTCGAGGACAGAATAATTATGAATCAATTAAAATGTATGTATACATGTGTGCAATTGAACGATAAACCTACATTGATAAGTTGTTAGAGAAATATTCCCATTCCCTAACTTTTACATGTATTGTACGTGTTTTCTGTTAGATTAAAAAGTAATAATGTAAACAAATTTTTGTCACTTGTAAAATTGGGAAATTACAAACAAATCTTTTGAAAAAAAAATGTATCTGAAAACATTTTAAATTAATTTGTTTCCAAAAACACTTATTTTTGGAAAACTCCCAGGTTCATAAAAGGAAAATATTTTTTTTTTGCAAAAGTTTAAAGCTATAATAAATTCCCTTTTTCTTTTTTTAAAAATTTTTTTCAGTGATTCGAAATTGTTTAAAAACATTTTAAAAAAAAGACTTAAAAACAATGGTTTTTTAAAAAAGATCTTTAACGGGGAAAAAAAATTGCACGTAAACACGTTTTTAAAAAAAACAAGGGTTTTTCGGGGATGGCGAATGAATTTTTAACGAACTTTTTTTGCCTAAATTTCAGTGTGAAATTTTAAAAAAATTCCGAAAAAATTTTCCCCTCCTTTTAAAATGTTTTAAAAGTTTGTGTAGGGATTAAAATGGTTTGCTGAAAATCCGTTTTAAATTTTAAAAGTTTTGTAAACATTTATAAAGATATTTTTAAAAATATATTTATTTTCCCATTTTAGTACAAGAAGGGACTATTTAATTTTTATGTTTTTCCCAAAATTTTTTTTGGGGTTTGAGAAACCCTAAAAAAAAAATAAAAAGTGAAAATTGGGGAAGGGGGTTTTCTAAATTTTAAAAAAGATATTGTAGAAGGCAACCCTAAAATAATTTATGATTTTATTTCTGCGATTTTTGGGGTTTGGGGTTTATAGGCCCCCACCAACACAGGGGTTGGGGCATATGTACCGAAACAGGAAAAATGTTTTTTGGGGTTTCCCCGGGTGTTAGACACCTCACGAAACCAGGGGGGCCAAAAACCAATTTTCCCCCTTTCTGGAGTTCAGATTTTTCATAAAATTAAAACAAAACCCAAATTTTGTCGCGCCAAAAATATTAAAGAGGGATAAAAAGTGGCTTTTAAATACTTAATTGGGCCCCAACCCTCAGTCACAAGGGGCATCGCCACCAACACATAGAAAGAAAAAGAGAACGAGAAACATATATTTTTCTCACACCCTTTCACAGAATTCAATACTAAAAAAATAATTCAGATGAAGCACGTGTATGTTAGCATGTATTTGTGTAATCACGTTTATTAAGGAGATACGGAAACATTGATAATTACAAATAATTAGCGTTAATTGTCATAAGTTTATTAGAGAAACGAACGTCGTTACAGAGTGAGCGTGCACTAACACAGATCTTTGTGATTGTTTTGATAGTTATTTTTTACGTATCCAGGATGACTTACAAAACGAGGGCAACCTTAATATGTATGTATTTTGTAATAACTGCATGGTATTATTGAATATGTGTATATTTGTATATGCAAATTTACAATATAGATATAAGAAATAGTCAGAATTCTTTAAAATAGATTTCAGAAAGCTGTGTTTTTCTTTGTGTTTCCCTCGTCATTTTATACCATGATGTTCTTAAAGTGGCATCATGTATATTCCTGTTTTTGTTCGGGACCTTCCTGGGCTCCTAGCCACTGGTTCTTGTTGTTGGGTCGTGTAGTGGTTGCGTTCATTGAACGCCGCCTTTCTTCGTTGATCTTGTTTACCATATTTTAGCAGTAATTGGTTATAGAAAATGTTCCGTTTTAGCTATGTTTGGTTACAAAAGAACGTGCGTGAATTTTCCGTTTTAGCTATGTTTGTTTATAAAAGAACGCGCGTGAATGTTCCGTTTTAGCTATGTTTGGTTATAAAAGAACGCGCGTGAATGTTCCGTTTTAGCTATGTTTGGTTATAAAAGAACGCGCGTGAATGTTCCGTTTTAGCTATGTTTATTTATAAAAGAACGCGCGTGAATGTTCCGTTTTAGCTATGTTTGGTTATAAAAAAACGTGCGTTAATGTTCCGTTTTAGCTATGTTTGGTTATAAAAAAAAATGCGTAAATGTTCCGTTTTAGCTATGTTTGGTTATCAAAGAACGTGCGTGAATGTTCCGTTTTAGCTATGTTTGGTTATAAAAGAACGCGCGTGAATGTTCCGTTTTAGCTATGTTTGGTTATAAAAGAACGCGCGTGAATGTTCGGTTTTAGCTATGTTTATTTATAAAAGAACGCGCGTGAATGTTCCGTTTTAGCTATGTTTGGTTATAAAAAAATATGCGTGAATGTTCCGTTTTAGCTATGTTTGGTTATAAAAAAACGTGCGTAAATGTTCCGTTTTAGCTATGTTTGGTTATCAAAGAACGTGCGTGAATGTTCCGTTTTAGCTATGTTTGGTTATAAAAGAACGCGCGTGAATGTTCCGTTTTAGTTATGTTTGGTTATAAAAAAACGTGTGTGAATGTTCCGTTTTAGCTATGTTTGGTTATAAAAAACGTGCCTGAATGGTCCGTGTTAGCAGTGGTTATTATACAAAATAAGACTTGTGTAAGTTTCGCTAGTAACATATAAACGTGTACCTACGTTCGTTTTTAAGAATATTTTGTTAAGGTCAAGGTGCGTGTAAGCTCCGTTTTGACAAGAACTGGATATATAAAACGGTGCATGTTGATTCATTTTAGGAAAAATTGGTTATAGAACAAGGCGCGTGTATGTTCTTTTTTGGCGGGGTTTGGCTATATAAGGCGCATGGGTGTTCCCCGTCCTAAAAATAATTAGATTTTATAGAAAAAGGCGCGTGGCAATATATATTGTGCTACCTAGTCCTTTCCATTTAAGCAAGATTTGGTTATATAATAAGGCGCGTGTAAATTGCGTGTGAGCAACAATTGGAAATGCATGTTTTGTTGTAGCAACAAATGGTTATAAAACGAGGCGAACGTATGTGTCTTCTTTATTGACTGATTATAAAATTGGAATATTTTTTATATCTTTAAGTATTATTCATTATTTACTCTTGATAATTTGATAAAATATGTTTGCTTTAGATATTTTGTTCACGTGCCAAAGCATTTCTGGACTTAATCATGTATTCTTGTGTACGTTTAACGAACATCAAATCAACATAGAATTACAGTGCAAGGGTGATTCCAAAATCAATATTGTCGACGGATGGGGTTTTAAATCAGATAAAACATATACATGTGCAAACAACAAATCCGCGACAGTACCAGGGGTATTTCACGGTTTGGGAAAAGCAATGTGGCACGAAATTCTCGCAGGATGTGTGGCTGAAAGTCATTGTAACATTCCACATTTTCCAGAACGTTTTCCAAATGATAAATCCCATGGCATCGCAATTGAATACAACTGTCTTCCAGGTAAATTATACCTATTTCCATGAAAAGAATCTAATACTTGAGAGAGAAATAATTGTGGTTAGTGACGTTAGATTGACATGGTTGGTAAAGGAAGAGAGACATGGTTGGTTAAGTTATAGAGACATGGTTGGTAACGTAAGAGAGACATGGTTGGTAAAGGTAGAGAGACATGGTTGGTAAAGGTAGAGATACATGGTTGGTAACGTAAGAGAGACATGGTTGGTAAAGGTAGAGAGACATAGTTGGTAAAGTTAGAGAGACATGGTTGGTTTAGGTAGAGAGACATGGTTGGTAACGTAAGATAGACATGGTTGGTAAAGGTAGAGAGACATGCTTGGTAAAGGTAGAGAGAAATGGTTGGAAAAGTAAGAGAGACATGGTTGGTTAAGGTAGAGAGACATGGTTGGTAACGTAAGATAGACATGGTTGGTAAAGGTAGAGAGACATGCTTGGTAAAGGTAGAGAGAAATGGTTGGAAAAGTAAGAGAGACATGGTTGGTAAAGGTAGAGAGACATGGTTGGTAACGTTAGAGAGACATGGTTGGTAAAGGTAGAGAGACATGGTTGGTAAAGGTAGAGAAAATTGTTGGTGAAGTTAGAGAGCCATGGTTGGTAAAGGTAGAGATACATGGTCGGTTACGTTAGGGAGACATGGTTGGTAAAGTTAGAGAGACATGGTTGGTAAAGTTAGAGAGACATGGTTGGTAAAGGTAGAGAGACATGGTTGGTAAAGGTAGAGAGACATGGTTGGTAAAGGTAGAGAGACATGGTTGGTAAAGGTAGAGAGACATGGTTGGTAAAGGTAGAGAGACATGGTTGGTAAAGTTAGAGAGACATGGTTGGTAAAGTTAGAGAGACATGGTTGGTAAAGGTAGAGATACATGGTTGGTAAAGTTAGAGAGAAATGGTTGGTAAAGGTAGAGAGACATTGTTGGTAAAGTTAGATTGACATGGTTGGTAAAGGGAGAGATACATGGTTGGTAAAGGTAGAGATGCATGGTTGGAAAAGTTGGAGAGACATGGGTGGAAAAGTTAAATTGACAAGGTTGGTAAAGTTAGAGAGACATGGTTGGTAAAGTTAGAGAGACGCGTTTGGTAAAGATAGAGAGACATGGTTGGAAAAGTTAGATTGACATGGTTGGTAAAGTTAGAGAAACATGGTTGGTAAAGTTAGAGAAACATGGTTGGTAAAGTTAAAGAGACATGGTTGGTAAAGGGAGAGATACATGGTTGGTAAAGATAGAGAGAGACATGGTTGGTAAAGATAGAGAGACATGGTTGGTAATGTTAGAGAGACAAACTCTAAAGTATCAATGAATAATATCTCAAATCAAAGGTATTCAAATTATTGACAAACTTATCGATGCAATTAACATTTGTACATGTAGATGATGCGTTCCTGCAATTTTGCCATCAAAGTTCTACTCTAAAAACATTTTATGGAAATCCAAATGGTGTTGACCTCATCTACAAAGGCGACGAAAGCACTACAGAGTTGTGTACATGTGATGTTGAAACAAACGGACACATCGAGACATCCCTGACAATATTCCCAACAAAAAGGTACACTTATAAGCTAGTAGCTTTATTAAAAGTGCATTAATTAAGCCCTCTGACTTGGTAAAATAATTGTCACTTTAATAGTTTAAGGAATTGACATAGTTAGCATATGCATAATTGTCTGTCCCTTGTATTAAGATCGCTGCTCGACAACGTTCCCTAGAAGCGCTCCTTGTACACTTTAATAAATTTACGACATATTTGTGTAATCAAGGAACTTCATTGAGGTGAAAAAAACCTAAAAATATATACATTTTTGTAATTTTAATTTCTTTCTTAGATCTGCTGCGGTGCTCAAAACAGAAAGATATGCAAAAATAATGAGAAACATACTCAGCAATATATTAAAAATCGTATTTTTGTACTTTTCTTAGCCAGATTTGAAGATCTTTCAATTTTGAGTCATTCTTCACAATTCGAATAATTATTCTTGAAAATGGAATGAGTGAATAATCGAAAATTTTGCACACAAATAATTGGTCTATAACAATATCAAATGGAACATTAATCGCGAAAATAATTTCTACTTCCGTAATGTCAAAGAAAATCTCAATGGAGTCCCCGTTTATGCTTATTGTTTTTCAGTTAAAAGTTCCAGAATATCAATATTTAAAATGATAAAATTAAGTATTCTTTAAATTTCAAGTATGAATCTGACAGTTAAAAGTGGAGGAAACGTAACACGTTGCAATAACGAAGTGTTAATCCGAAGTGAAATTACAAATGGCAACGATAGAAGCAAACAGACGTTTGTTGTGGATTATGCCACAGAACCTCACAACGGTGTTCCATTTCTTCTTCTTCAATTTTCATTCTCAAGTATGTTTATATTTGTTTTAAGTGTATAAGAACTTTAGCTTATTTTATTTATCTTCTATTGTCAAACTTCTATTTAGGGGCCTTGACTGTCCACTTTTGAATCACGCCGGATGGCTGCTTTCCTGTGTTTCAAAACCAGAAATGACACAAGTTTCGATACAGGAAGCCGAAACAGAAGCTAACCTCTGGTTGGAGATTCGAACCCACGATCACAGGATTAGGAATCCGGTGCTCCACCCCTTCACTAATATTTGACGGTTTATACAGAAATATTATATATCATATATCATATATGTATGATATCACGGCTATTATTCAAGTTTGTTGAAAAAGGAAATCATTCACTTGCCACTATCTATACACATGTACAACGCAACTTTAATCTTTTAAGCGAATATGTTTTGTGACCCGACTTTATACCTTGTTTCTGTTCTGACAGAGAAACTAATTGAAATATTTTTCACAAATTGTGTTATATCAAACAATATGGGTACTTTTGATGTTAATCCATTTTTAGTGTATTTGTTTTCGTTTCGTTAAAGCACTAATTTTAAATGGAATTCTAGACAATAAATTGTATATAAAAAAATATATCTCACAGCTTTTTTTGTTACATATGTATGATTATATAATGATGCATATAACCTATGTTTACACCATGACCTATATTAACTATGTTGAATTAATGATCAACATTATTTTTTTGTCCAATCACATTGTAGTATTTTTCAAATTTCTGCTAAGTCTAACTTTGGTTAATGTGTACTAACTAAATAAAATTTACTTAATCTGTCGTCTAACCAGTCTAACAAATTTCAATAATGCATTATATTAGGGAGGAGTTGCAGGTGTGAATTGCACTCTGAATTGTAAAATATCTAGGTTAGCAAAACAATGCCAACATAAAAAAATAGGCTTTCTAAATGTGAGGATACAATTAATTGATTTATTACATAGATAATACATGTGGGGCACGCAGAGACAAATGATTACATAGTAACCTTTTTATATCCTTTTAACTCTAAGAAAAATGTCTGTTATATATTGCTGACTGTTTTAACTTTATATTTTCTAGAAAAAGTAACCAAAAGTTATTTTCTTTCACTTGATAGGAATGAACTGCTTTAGCAATCCTTGATATTAAGGATACAATGATTACATTTTTTGGCTGGAAAACTCATTGAAAATGGACCCCCTCCACCTGTAAACCAAAATTGACACACAGAAAAAAAGAACTGTTTTTCAAAAGAGCAAATCAATAGGGATTTTAAATGTTAGTGAATAACTTGAAGCTAATAACGAATTTGTATCAATTAATAATCTCTAATGTATTTTTCTCACATTTTCCATATATTTGAAAAGGATGTACACAGTTCATTAACTCCATTGTTTTTACCTAATTACTGTAGATAAAGGTATAAATTCTGTGACATTTCAGTAAAAAATGTTCGAAAGGGTCATTTATTTAGCTTATCTAAATGTGAAATGTTAGAAACTTGACAAGGTGTAGACATTTTGTAGAGGGAAAGGGCAGAGCTATCAGTGATTTAGAGAAATGCCTTATTTTTGGTTGAAAGAAATAATGTTGATCATTAAATAGGTTTTAAATATATATATAGATCTAAATATACATAAATATTTATATAAATCCAATAACACTAAAAGTCAGTACAAACCCTAGACAGAGTGCTCGATGGTATCCCAGAGCTGTATGTATGGATAAATATCTATATCCATAAATATTTATATATATATATTTTCTTCTATTATGTTAAAATATATTAAAATGGGGAATAAAGTGTAATAATTATGAGAGTTTTACATTGAATGATATATTGAGGTAAAATAATTAGTATTGTTTAACTCTGCCCGTATACATGTATATTTTACTGACAAGTGATATCATATATATTTCATGTATTCAATTATTTCAGTTCATGACAAAAATGGCCATATATATATACTTTGTGGACAAGAAAACAGTATGTTTAAAATTTTGTATACTTTTATTTGATAACTTTTGAATACAATGTATCTCAGCGTAAAATAACATACATTGCTTCATAAACACGAGACTGAAATTAAAAAAAAAATAAAAAAAATAAATAAGTCCTCTTTACTAAATTCCTACACAAAACAATATCGTATTCTGTTTACTTTTTGTACTCTTCGTTGTTAAATCGAAGTAGACTGTCTTCACTGAAGATGTTATATTTTGCTTGCCCTTTGACAGCAATGATTCCGATAAATTATTGTGTTGAAGTTTAAATATTGCTTAAGCCGTTCTAGGAGGTGTGATAGATGTTGAAATTTTCTCACATGAAACGGACTCCTGCAATTTTCACATTAAAACTTAAATTGCATTGCTCTCAAGTGATATAGCATTTTCATTGCATTGCTAAAAAAGAAAAGTTTTTTTTGTTTTTGTTTTTCAAAAAAAAAATGTTGAAGCAAATTCATGTCTACATTACAGAAGAATTGGCTCCAGCGCCACCAAAGGATAATACGACAACACCAGATAATGAAACACCAGAAACAACACATATATCAGGATATGCAGCTACAGCAACAGTTACAGCAATGTCCACCATTTTGATTATTGTTATTATTGTTGCCCTTATGAAGAAGAAACACGGTAAGAACTGTAAGATGTACGTTTCTTATCTAAATGAAGTAGTGACTACGTCCATGTTATGATTAAAAAAAAAAACTTACTTGCAAGAATTAATTCGAAATCGTTTTACTACTGTACACCTGGTTTTAGAATACCTTTTAAGTGGTGTTTTATACACAATTGTATTATTTATTTCATTACAGTATCTTTCAACGGTTCTCTTTGTGGCATTATGCAATCGAATATGATTTAACGCTTTAAATGCAGTTACTATAATACTACAAAGATTGTATACACAATATAAAGATTTGCAATAGCTTGAAGAGAATGGCAACTTTTAAATTAAAATAAAAAAATGCTGAAATAAGATTCGAACCAACAAGTTTAAGTCTACATTCTTCAAACCAGATTTTCAAATTTACATCATTTAAACAAGTGGATTTTACATTAATATCGATTTACAAGTAGATCGTAACGTTTACGGAATATACCGACTTTAGGAGTGCCAGGTCAATATTGCTGGACAATGCTCAAATTTGATATTAGAAAATATTGGTAATTACTACAATCTTTGTGAATAAAAAATAAACATGTTTTGACTTCATACAAAGTAGTTACATGTATTAGTGTTTCACATTATAATTATGTTGTCACAGTATATGATTACATGTATATACATGTATGCCATTAAAAACTGGCATTTTTTTAAAATACCAACATTACCTAACCTGAATTCATCCTAAGCGTGCCATTGTACAGCACGCGACTCATCTGCCCCCCACCCCCTATGCCAGATGAAATTTCCGGCATGGGTAAAACTCACGGAAACGCCAGTCTGATATGCAAGAAATATTCAGTAAGAATTTCATAGATTTCAAAAAATTTCAAGGATAAGCATAGTATATATTGAAAAGAACGTTTGCATAATCAGGGACATAAAATGAGGTGATTATACATTGCTGAGTACAATATGGTGTCTAGTCTTGTTTAATATTATCGACATAATTATTGTTATGAAAATATATCTTCCATTATAGACCAATACACTTTAATTAATGCAAATAGTTACTATGAATAATAAATCGACTAAATGAAGCACTTGGCAAAGCCCACCTGTGACATGAGACATGACATGGAGTTGAATGGCAGCATAAATATACAAACAGATACAAGTTCATTTTTTCCAACCTAGTTCTCTTATTTCAAAACCAAACTGAAAACGAATTGAAACAGCGTAAAGCGCAAAATTTCATCTTTAAAACGATTCATTTTGTATTGGTGTGCTTCTGTGTGCAAACATTAAAGGGACTCCACTGTTTAAAAATCCTAAAAACATAATATTCGTCCAAACAATGCATTATTTAGTCCGAGCAAAGCATTATTTTGTCCGAACAAAGCATTCCTTAGACCTAACAAAGCATTATTTAGTCTGAAAAGAGCATTATTTAGTCCAAACAAACCATTATTTCGTCCAAACAAAGCATTATTTAGTCCGAACAAACCATTATTTCGTCCAAAGAAAGCATTATTTAGTCCGAACAAAGCATTATTAAGACCGAACAAAGCATTACTAAGACCTAACAAAGCGTTATTTAGTCCGAACACAGCATTATTTAGTCCAATCAAAGCATTATTTAGACCGAACAAAGCCTTATTTAGTCCGATAAATTAAAAATAAGACCGAACAAAGAATTATTTAGTCCGTTCAAAGAATTATTTTGACCGAACAAAAAAATATTTAGTCCGTTCAAAACATTATTTAGTCCAAGCAAAGAATTATTTAGACCGAACAAACATTATATGGTCCGAACAAAGCATTATTTTGTCTGAACAAAACATTACTTAGACCTTACAAAGCATTATTTAGTAAAAAAAACCAACATTTTCTGGACCGATCCATGCCTTATCTAGTCCAAACAAAGCATTATTTAGACCCAAAAAAGCGTTATTTAGTCTGAAAAGAGCATTATTTGGTCCGAACAAACCATTACTTCGTCCTAACAAAGCACTATTTAGTCCGAACAAAGCTTTATTTAGTCCGAACAAAGCATTACTAAGACCTAACAAAGCATATTTTAGTTCGAATAAAACATTATTTAGTTCGCTAGATTATTGAAATAGTTTAATTGTAATTGCAATAAGAGGCAATCTATATATTAAATCAAATTCGTAACTATAAATACTATTCAGTTGAAGGACTCAGGACTTAGACAGAAAACAAATTCCGTCGATTTTAATAGAACCTGACATCATAAAATTATATATACGTATATACAGAAACCAATGGTCAAAAATTCTTGTTGTTCTTATTTTTAAACAGGGACAAAGCCAAACAATAAAGGCGTTTTGTCGACACATGCCAAAACATGTACAAGACATGTACAGGCATCATTATCGGTGACCTGCAACGATAGGTATTGCACATAGCAGATTAAACTATCTTAATTATATTAACTATTTCTACGCTGAATGTCTTAAAATAAACGTGTCTATCTTTCAATCTTGTATAAACCATTTGTCAATAAAAGGGAAAAACGCTCGTATGAACCGACTGAATAACGGAGAGATGACACAGATGTGCCGACTGATTTTGGTAGGCACTGGCCGCGCCTCTTTAGTAGATGTATTTCGTATGGTGGCTGATTTGTGCCGTTCGTGTTTTCGCACCACGACTCCGAAACTCGGAAAGTCGAGAATTCACAAGTTAAAATGGCGGGGGGCGCGGAGCGAAAACAAGGTAATAAGCGCCCCCCTCCCGGAGCGAAAACCAGCTAATTAGCGGGTGCGCTAATTAGCGTGTTTTCGCTACGGGACCCGCTGTTTGGTTCGTAGATTATTTATTAAACTTCGCCCCGCGCCCCGCTTTTTAGCGTGTTTTCGCTCCTCGACATTTCGCTTTGCGGGGTCGCTGGGCGAAAACATGAATGGCACACATCAGTCACCATTGTTTCGAATGTTTTTGGATCCGTTTCAAGCATCTATAAATGTATATTGCTATATTTATCTGCAAAGTATGATCAGATATATTTATATCACTCAAAGAATATCTGTTTGATTTTCATTAATACATTTGTACTTCATTTGCTCTTTATAGGAAAATATCATCAACAAATTTCTCAAAACAATGAATGTTATGTATTTTAAGGGACATATAGATAAATATAATGTCCATTCTACATGTATTTCGCATGCAACAGAACTAAGAACTGATGAGTTTATTAGACATTTATTGTTTATTTACAGTGAAATAAGTCATTCATATGCAGAAATAGGAAGTATTTCGGATTATCGTCATTACGTGATGCCGGATGAAACATCTCAGCAAAGTTTTAAGATGAAAATATGTTTGGAAAAAGTTTGTGATTCAAATGATAATGATCGACGAAAACCGAATGTAGACGCACTCGCCCAAAGGAAACAAAAGTCACTACCAAAAGCGAAAAGTGCGAACAAAGTTGACCCCGTTATCTATAACGCTGTAAAAGATGTAGATATTATAACAAAGGAAAAGATAGCTGAAAACAACACAGACTGTAAACACATTGAGAATAAGGTTGAGCAAGAGCAGCGTTTACCTGAAATACGGGACAAGAGTAAAGTGAACGAAAATACAAGCATTCCGAGAGTTTCAGGAGACCAACACAACCTTGAAAACGACATTAGAAAAATTTCCAGGGAGCATTACGACCCATCTGGATATCTAGATTTAGACATCGCCGAGAAGACAAGTCATCAGTATCTACAAAAATGGATGAAAGAAATCTACGCAGTCGAGCAAAAAGCGAAACTAGAAGACAAACAACGGAAGGACGCAGGGCCACCACAAGTTGGAAAGAGAAAAGTTTTGATTGTTCAAAATGAGCAAGCACCTGAACGACAAGGCAATTTATATTCTAATGCTGACGACCACAGAATTGCCTTTTCGGACGAGGAGACTTTGTTTAATAACCAATTATAATAGCCGCAACTCTTCAGCATTTTCCCATCATACTTTGGCAAATAACTACTAGTATGGGTAATAGCCAGTATCTTCCGAAAAAAAAACATATACGATTGCAATGCAAAATCAAAACCTTTTTTGTGAGAAATTGTCTGGAATGAGTATATGACTTTATATGACCTATGTATTTTGACTGACCTGTGATACGTGTATCTATATCAATAAAGGCCTCAACAGACGGTAGGATTTTGCAGTACAACACCAATTAAAATTAAGATCGTAATGTGTGAAGGCTACTATTTATTGAATTCATACAATTTAATACTAGATTTACAGGATAGGACATGTACTATATCTTAATACGTGTTGTACAGACCTTCCACGGTGACAGGTGACATATTTCCAAATTATTCCCTAATAATGTGTTTAATGAATGAAATTCAAGAATCATTAGGGCTAAAAGGTGAACATAGTTGTAAGTTGGGGTAAAAATGATGTTGAAAAACTCTTCAAGAGACCCAAAGTTGTGGTATGTTGGAATCCCAAATTATTCAGAAAATGATTATGTAACGGTATTGAACTGTTCTCTAATCAGGGAAGGTAGTTTGTAGTCTCAGTCAGTAGAGCGCAGTACGGTATTCCGAGGGTCCCAGGTTCGAGTGAGTCTCGATCGGGCTGCACAATAATCTCGCCCTGTGACATAGACTTTTTTTAACAAAATGGAGGTGTTTCAATCATTACTCATGGAGAAAAAATGATATTTTTGTGAGTAAAGTATGTAAGGGATCAATTGGGAGTGAACTGTTTTTTAGGGAAACCTAATGATTCCTACAATGCAGAATTACGGTCTGAATGCAAGTGTTGTATTGCTTTGAAAATTGTACATCATATCTCTAATTAGTGTTGTACAAATAAATCCTACCGTTTGTTGAGGCCTTATGTGAGTATATGAAATTCACCTGTATGCCTTTTGTTTTTTTACCTAATTAACTTGAACGTTTATTTTCTTATTCAGGAACACCATAGTTAAAAACGTGTGCAGGACGTAAAGCAAGTGAATCATGACGTAAAGCACGAAAAACACGAAAACAGGACGGACATTCCTAATATTGAACATGTCTCATGGGATAAGCTTTTCGTCCTGCTTTACGTACTTTTATTACGTCATGACTTATATTACACGTGCTTTACTTCCTGCACACGTTTTAACTATGAATAAGGTGAAAAACTCTGGATCTGTAAAACTTCGGGGGCGTGCGACGTTATATATGTTATCATTACGAATATTATTTTATTGCTTTGATTTGTTTGGTTTTTGTTTTTTTGTTTGTTTTTTCCTTACTTTACAATCGGGATGCTGGACATTTACCATGAGACATGTTCAATATTAGGAACTGCTCTCAGATGGGGAGAAGAACAACCGAGACTCTTAAGTGGTTCCAGTGGTATACAAGTACATATAAGGTACATACTAATTTACCAGAACTTACCAGTTAGGATGAACCAAGTCTAATGTTGTGCTTTGTATATATTGTATATATTGACCTTTGTGTATGGTTAACTAGTAATGCAAGTTTTGTGAGGAAGTTATTTATATATTTAGTTTTAGTGGCTACCATGGATAATATCTTACTTAAGGTAGTCTTACTGTAAGGCTTTGCCGCAAAAAAAAACTTCTAACTTCGGCCAATATCGTAGCAAATCGGTTATTTCCGGAACGTTATTTTATTCAAAATCTTTGGCATTAGGTTATTTACAATCATTCATCCTTTATCGATAAATTGTAGTAAATTCCGGTTATAAAAGGTTAGAAATTATTGAATACTGAAGACTGTGAAAAATTAATGTCCGGAAAAGACCGATTTATTACGATATTGGCCGATGTTAGATATTTTTGGCGGGAAAACATTACATCACCTTAAGTGACTCCTCCCTCATCAGCAGTAACATTAAGAAATCTAGTGCTTTCTTTATGGACATTCTTTAAATGTCATTTATTTTGAAATACTTTATTTATCATTGACATCATCAGAATATGACCAACCTGAATTATATCTACGTGTAGAAGATGTCTGTTTATTTTGAATGAAAATGGTATATATTACACTTAGAAGGGAGAAAAAAGTAATAGCTAGTATGCAGTGAATATGTGGTTTTTTTTTCTCACTTCGATATCGATGTGTTCAGTATTCAATTTTAGAGAAATTATGCTATTGGAATCGAGAAATGTGCCATTTAGAACACAACGCAACAATAAACTTCTACTTAATTGAACCACGTAAAAATTACGTAAAAATTACGGCATTGTTCAAATTAAAACGTACGCCAAAAATAGTTCTGCAGAGCTATATCACCACGCTATAATTAAGTTATATACTGTAGATGATATGGCTTTTATCAAACGGATAGAACACAATATGTCACTGGTAAATATAAAATAAATGTGTTATATTTCTTTAATGTTGAAACATGGTTAATATAATGATTGTTATACATGTCTATGACTGATTAATTTGTTTGTTTGTATTTTAAAATTGTATTTAATAGCCTGGGATTAAGGCGTTGATATTTTTTGCTTATTCATAAAAACACGATATTTCATACCCTTCTGTTTTTTGGATAATATCCGAACAGAAGCACATAAAAATCGACAGACTGGACCCAGGCTATGTATTTAATATATGCTACATATTTGTGTAATGTCGAGGAGCTGTTCAAGTCATATTGTATAATAAAACCTGTTCTGTTCTGTTGTGTTCTACTCTATTCTATTTTGAACTGTTATTTTCTGTTATTCTGAAATATGTAATTTATATGAAACACTATTTGTCAAATATTCAAACCTTTGTTACTTATGACATGAGCCGCGTCATGACAAAACCAACATAATGGGTTTGCGACCAGCATGGATCCAGACCAGCCTGCGCATCCGCGCAGTCTGATCAGGATCCATGCTGTTCGCTGACAAACCGTATAACAAGTAGAGAAACTGATAGCGAACAGCATGGATCCTGATCAGACTGCGCGGAACCCATTAAGTTGGTTTTGTCGTGACGCGGCTCAATTTTGTCAAATATTCAAACCTTTGTTATTTATGATATAGCACAGAGATAGGCAACTTCCTAGCCAGTTAAAATATCATGCGTGCCTGCTAAACTTATTAAACTTATTAACCAGATATCAAAATCAGTAAAATAATACATTTTCTGAAAGCTTTTGTTTATGGCTGCAGGTAAAAATATTTACAGTTCCCATTAAACAAACGATACATCTACTACGTAATAATTTTTGTTACAAAACTATTTATTTGACGAAAAAACTGGCTCAGTGGGTATGTTCTGCTATGTTTTTCTAAGTGAAAGGTATGGAAAGTTACCAATATTTTAACATGCAGCAATAGATAAAAGATTTACCTTTCAAATGTTATATAATATTAAAGGATCAAATGTACATCCATTAAGTTTTATTTGCTACAAAATGCCTTTTTTTCTCACTTTTTGATTGGCATGAGTGATATTTCAATGGAGTATAATATTATAGGAGCTGCTTATCTCTGTTATCTATGTCTCTGGTGTTTTCTGGGAAGAAGTGCGTCTTCCAATTCAGTTGTTATAAATTCTTTATCTAGAAATCTGAATAAATTCAAATAACCTAATAGGCGTACCTTAAAATAATTAGAAATATTTCAGAAATCTACATACATGCTTTGCTTGCAATTCCTAATTCAACATATGGTTTCTTTAGTCGGTAGTGAACTACTTCAGATATTCAGAGAGATTCGAACTTCCATCAAGCAAGACAACTTTATTGCAAACAGAACTTAAAATTATGACAACTCACTTTGAAATAATGATTTATTTTTGAATTATCACAATTTTTCCTTTTATTTTCTAAACCAAAGAGAAAGCATCAACAATTAAATTATAAAATGCCTATGACAAAAATATTTTTAAATTCTGTTTTAACAACAATGAATTGTATGTTGAATTGTACAGAACATTTTGTGGTAACGCTATAAATATTGGCAAAATTCTTTATTTGTTTTTTAAAACTTTAATAAGAAATTACTAAAGTACTGAGAGACTTTTAAATTATCAAACCATATGAAAATATGATGTTTATTGTTGAGTACGAAGATGTTTACTGTTGAGTATTAAGCAATCAACTTAACTTACGAAGCAAAAAAATTGATATAATTTGTTTTAATATCTGTTTCGTTTTTTCCTCTTCTTTTTTGTACCTTTTTATATTGGTAAATATCACAAGTCCGAAGTCTATCTATCAAAGTTTAACAAGTATGTACTGTTTTGAAAATGTCTTATTTTGGTTTATTTCTTTTGAACATGAAAATAATTTCGAAATTACAACGATGTATCAATATGTTAATCTGTTAAAATTACGAGGGTATAGTTAAGTTAACAAGGTATTATCATTCTGTATGTGCAAGAAAATATTCCATTTCCTCATTCACAGAACACTGAATACTTATAAGTCAACAGACAATTGTATCATTAAGTGAAATAGTGATTTCATTTTTTTTCGGATAATGGCATGAACAAATATTTAAGAAAAAAATCTTGTATTTAAAGAGACTACATGTATATGATAAATATAAGGAAAAAGTGACCATCTTGACTTTATTTATTCAACAAATTTGCAATTATAGTAGAGTTTATGATTTGATGACAATCGCTGGAACTAATAACTAAATTGTTAATCTTCTTTGTTTCAAGGAGTTTCCATGTCCATTAAAATTGTCTACTGCTTTTACATACGATTAGGAATTCTTGATAGTAATAACTGGCAAAGAAAAATTTCAATTGAAAGTTAATATACATGTAGGTTTATACTCTTAGAAACAAAACTATCATTTATATAACGGAAAGATTACCTCAAATCCCATGCATTTTGGATTTTAAAGTAATCAGATCAATTATCATCAGGCAATAGACATTATACCATTGGTAAACTAACAAAGCATTTCCCTATTTATAAAAGCTTCGTTAATTCTCTTTAAACATGGGTTCTTATCACAAGATTATAACTGCTTATACTTATCTGTCAATAACCAATGTTCATGGCTTTGTAATACATTAAGACACAATTTCTAACATCACCAAGAACACAGTAAAACATTTCATCCCAAGCCTGTAATTTATGCTTATAACTTTATTTCCAGGGTTCCCCAGGCATGTTCACATTATAAATTTAAAATTATTTTGGCGTTTGGAAGACGAATGCTTCTTTAACAAGATATTTCTATTACATTTCTTTGACTTAACAATGACATATTTCAAAGCATTTGTTTACACAAGTTTTCGTTACACAGTGTGATAAACAGTCTAGAATGGAAATTAAAGAAAACTAAATTATTCATACGTTCAGGGTCAACGACATTTTCAATTCCCATTTTTAACGTCAATTAAAATACACCTCAAGAGAAAATAAAAGTTCATTACACACCCACACAAACACGACAATCTTTTATTTTGTACTAATTTTACGTCAATCAAATTTATTCAAAGACATTTGATTTAACTTATCACGTACCATGGGTATGACAGGAGAAGTTGCATAAACAAGCTTTAAGATTATTTAACAAAATCAAATTAGGTAGGTGAAGGACAAAGGAAAACAGTCGTAAACTAAATCATAAAAAAAGCAAATTAGTTTCTCTTGCATGTTTAGCCTAAGAATAGAAAAGAATGTTTACCATGATACTTTAGCAACATCTGCACTATTCATTTTTTCTTAATTGCAAACGTTGATTTTGGATTGCAATTTTGAACAAATGCTCCTGATGACAAAAGTACATAAAGGTCTTATACAAAGTTTGATATCATGTAAGATAACATTATTTGAACGCATACCAAAATGATGTGTATTTGAGTAGTTCATTCGAAGCTCAATGACTTAAAACCAATACTGTCTTCACTCTCTTCAAAACTGCTTTGTTCAATAATGTTTGTTGATCACCCAAACATTGATGAACTGATGTAAACCTATATATTTTGAAAAAAATACTTTATTTTATCTGAGTATCGAGTAATATCTAAAAATTCGTTATATTATAACAAGGAAAATATGTTTTATTATATATTTAATATGATTATTTAAAGTATAAACCACTCTGTATCTGAAAGTGATGTCAATAAAATGAGAATAATACATTTCCCTTATAGTGCCGCATACATGTTTGTAATGAGATTCTAGAAATAAATCAGATAAACGATCATTCAAGCTTTGATATACATGTATACATCAAAATTCAGTGCCATAATTAGAAAAGAAATGTAACTTAAACCGGGGCACAATGATTCAACAACATGTAATATATATCAATCTATATAGCTAATGAAATTAAAAAGGTTATGTTGCGATAAAGACTGTTTTCTACAAGAATAATATGAACACACATGTGGTACTTGGAACTTCAAGCAAACAAATGTTGCAAGAAGTATCTTTAAAAAAGATACTTGGTCGAAGTAAACAAACATTTTGTTTTTTTGTTTGATTGGTTTTTCCGTCACACCGACACAGTGTAGGTCATTTGGCGACGTTCCAGCTTTACTGGTGGAGTAAGACCTCAGGTGCCCTTCCTTGCATCTTTTTCAGGCATGAACGGGCACCGAGATCTGTACGCAAGCTGGATAGCTTCATCACATGAAAGAATCCAAAGTCCCTGTCGGGATTCGAACCCACAGCGGAGAGGGGCAAGTGGTTTGCAGTAAACGATATAAATTACTCGGCCACGGACAATCCAAACCAACCTTTACTAATTACTTATTTCATAGTTCTGTATACATTGTACATAAACAAATGTCAGCTTAACGTTTGCTTGATAATGTTCTCAGCTGCTGAAGGAATTTTTATCAACTTAGTATTGAATTATTTAATATAATCTAAACAGATTTTCAAATTATAATACTCGTGGTATGGTCATAAGATTATTTGTTCTTTACCACTTTAAGATTTTTCAACAAGTTACTAAAAAACACTTTAGCCTATAGTTATAAGATTACGTGTCGAGGTTGGTCATTACCAGTGAATGGTTTTAGCAAATAATAATCAAATGCTAATGATTACAAATATGAGGTATCGAATTGTACCTTAAGATTTCCTAAAACGAATAAATTTCCCGTTTGTTCACATCTTAAAACAATAGTAGAAATAGCTGTCTCATTCCAAAAGCATCAGAGTATCATTTAAACATCATCTCTATTTATGCATGAGAGAATGAAACATTCATCTTGTTTGTATTTTAATCTTTTTTAATTGCGTCATACAAATTGTCTCTCTTTTCACGAGAAAAGTCATCCAGAGCTGTATATTGTGTCTTGCTTGAGTCGTCTTCACCAAAACCTTGTCCTTGTATGTCCTGGTCATTTGTTGTGTACGCCACATTGGCATAGTGTCTATAGAAAGAAAGTAAAATATGCTCTAAAATACAATTTCTATAAACCATACTATACACATGCCATAAACTTAACGAACAGGTTCTGAGATACTTTAACGTCAATGGTAGATTCAATTTTAATCATAGATAATTTGTCAGGTTATATGGAACTATATAAACGGTTGTTTATATATAACGCCTTGGATTATATTGCAAATAACCGTTTATATAGGCAATATAACATATCAAGAATCTTCATAACAATTTATGATACTGCAAACTTTCTTTATTAGAGAACAAATTAAAATTACTTTATATATCGACTGCTGTCATTTATATTGATAATATTATCCTATGAAAAATGACGTTACAAACGTACAGTATTATTAAAATTGAAATTAAAGCATTACATTCATTGATGTCAGTTCTGTATACATTGTAATCAACTATTTGTCAAGAGGCGGACATTATTACGAAATACAGAATTTTATCATTTACGATTTAAATTAAGGAAGTGTTTTTTCTAGAAGTAATGCGATTGTTTATTTATGAGGATATCGATACATTGACATCTATATAACGTGTATACGTACTGTTGTTGAGTTGAGCCGACCACACTGTCTTTGTCTGAAATTAAAATAAACCAAACTAATCAGAAAATTCATATTACGTGTTATTGTTCTTTTTGCCTGTAAGCATACCATTTTTATATAATCTTACAATGTACAAGAAAAGGATAATAAACATGCAATCATTGTAAATATATTATAATGCAAAAATATTCCTTCCAAGCATGTTACTATAAATGTGTAATGTAAAATATAATGAACATGTGCACCTTTCTTTGTAACTGTTGTTCTTCTTTTCTTATTGATTGAGACATTTCGTTTCCATATTATAGTAATTGATGCAGCATAAGTTGTTACAATAACAGTGAGACCTCCACAGACTATAGCAATCGCCACTATACTACCACAATCACATTCTTCTTGGCTGACTTCCGAACTAATATTATGTAAATCTAAAAAGATAAAAACAAAACGATTATTCAACTTTGTATAAAAGATAACATTGTTAATGAACTTTTAATAGGTTTGAAAACAAAATCTGACATTTCTGAGAAAACAATGTATGAAAAGATAACTACAATATTTGTCTGTAATAAAAAAACCCCAAAAAACAGCATATTAAACATATTTCTAACAAAACGTTTCTAACAAATATCAAATGATGTTATACAAAACAAATGTATGTTTAAAACTTATTTATTCATACACTTTTTCAGATACTTACCTTGTCTTACAAGGAAAATATATTGGTTATAAGAACCAATGCTGTTCTCGACAGACACACGGTCTGACATTGTTTATTACCCAAAACAAAGAGTAAAGTAACTCTGAATATTACTCGTACCTTTTATATTGACACTGACAATAACATCAGCAGATTTGGAATACCAGGAGTCGGTATTTTCAGCTTTGCATTGGTAATCTCCTATCATATACTTGTCGACTGATTCAATATATAATGTATCGTCAGTAGAATTTATTACTTTCCCACTTGTAACATTCATCCATGTATAGCGACACCCAGGATAACAGTCCGCTGTACATTCTATTGACATTATCTCCCCTTCAGTGAAAACATATGGTGATGTTACGTTAACACTGACTAAATCCGGACCATCTTGTTATGAAATATTCAAGCAAAGATTATTAAGTTATTGTTAGTCTTAATTGATATTTAATTAACAAGTATATAATAAAGGTGAAAAATATATGGAAAAATAAAGACATCCATTTTATTTGTAAAAATGCGCTTAATTTATTCACGTTTTACTCGCAAATAATATGACTGGTTTATTCTTTGTTAAATTAGTGTGAGAAAACTTACAATGAAAATAGTTCACTGCTGTTTGATGTGTATCCATCAGTGTCATCTTCTGTAGCTGAACATGAAAACTGTTGATTTGCATCTTCCTTCAAAATGTTTGATACAATTAGTTTATCCTTACTAGGCGTGTATGAGTATTTCGTACTAGCCGGGTTATCTATGTTGTTAACTCTCCATGAGTATTTCAAACTGAGGCTGTGGTTGTTGGGTATAGTAGTTGATGTGCTACTACATGTTAATATTGCACCTTTTCCTACATATGTTGTTTTATTCCCTGACAGTGTTGGCCTCCTTGGGAAACCTGCAATGATAAAAATTTAATAAAACAGTTTTCCAAAACTATTATTACAACCTCTGACAACTGTGTCAGAAAATATTTTATTTGCCTCACATGTCTAGAACGTTGTTATCTTAGTAACGGGCAGGTGCTTGCAATTTGGTTTCTTAGAAAAGTCGTGATCTTTTCTGATGGATTTTGAAGCTTCATGTTATTAAATTAAAGTTCATAACCTAAGAGCTCGTGCGGAATGCCTGGCTCTTTAAACTTGGTTGAAGACCGAAATGTTTTGTGAATTGAAAATAAGTCTATCCATCGTCATAAATAGTGACTTGCAGAAAATGGAGGTACATGCATGTTTGAATACATACCTACCTTTATACCAAGAAGTACACATTCTAGCAACTGCGTAAGAATAAATGATATATTTCGCAAATAAGCGGATTGTTGTGTTTTTGGATCGCCTATCTGCTACAAACTAGGCTTTTAAGTGATAAGTTTTTAGTTTACTTAAAAAGAATGTTTGCGACATGCAGAAACAAATAAAGAGAAACTGTATTTCTGTGTGTATGAAAAGATAATCTGATAATTGCACTTTCATACATATTTTAAATGTCAAAAGACTTGTGACTCTTACACTTACCTAACATGTATAAACAGTTGCAATTTGGAGTAAATCCAGCACTAATCAATATATAAACGCCTGTATCATTCTGTTGAATATTAGGTAGTGTAACAACTACATTACCATCTGTATCACCAGTTGTATTGAGACCTCGTTATACATCAGTTGTAGGACTCCTGTCTGGATAGTATATTATTCTAGCCTTAGCACTACCGTCAAAAAACCTGACCTCAAACATTCTTGGTGAAATCAGATTTGTTAGGTCAGCAGAGAATTGAAGGACAGCATCAGTGTTGACACGACTGTATACTTTCCTTATTGGTGATAAACATGTCCATGCCTTGACTGAAACAATAAAAAGTTATATATTTACATACATAAAATAATTTCCTTAATTCAGTTAATATAATTAATTATTCTATTGATCTTAATATGGCATTATGCCCATATTTTCATAGTCAATTTGAGCTGAATTGACTTAAAATTTCAAAAGATTGACTGTCAAAATGATCTTTGACCAACAGTTGATATTGGAAAATGCTTATGATGAAATTGTAAATCTGCCTAAAATTTAAAAAGACTGCCCCACTCTTTTTATAAACTAAGCGATATACGTAAATTCTAACGGACATTTAAAGAAATTTCATTCGGATCTGTGTGTTATTCATTGTTTATGCGAACATAATTATTTAATTAAAAGGGATAATGGCAAAATGAAAACATATTTTGATCTTCATCCGTTCACTCACTATATACCCTTGGATGGGCATAATGTCACTTTAACACACTTTGTTTTTACCGAAAACCACCTATTATAAAAAAGCATCAAAGATGAGTTTCTGAAAAAAACATGAATCAAAGCTATAGTTTAGCATTTAAATGTTAAAAAGGTGTACCTAAGACTTGTATACATTGGCAACTCATATACAATCAAACTCTTAAAATATAGGAAAAGACAATTTTGTAAGCAAATTTTGACTGCAATTCAAGGTAACCCTTACTTTACATCAGCTTTGATATCAGCTTAGATATTTTAAGGCAAACATTCTTACAAAGTTAATTAATGAATGCATGAATATTCAATTTAAATTATGTCGTCCACAATCTTACGGTGGACAGCAAACCGACGGACGACATTTTGTGTTCAGTGGAGCTAAACTTACCAATAATTATCAATTTTTATCAATGAGAGGAAATTCGATGATTCAAGTCACGAAAAAAAAAAACTTATAAAATTAAAATTGCAAACTTGCATATTAAATAGATGGTCTAAAAAATATTCTACAATCAGATATTAATATAATTATATACTTACTTTATTCAGTTATTAAAATACAACATTGTGAAAAAAAAATTGCAAAAATATATTATAGCTAAGGTAACTATGATATAAGATAGGATCATTTGAAATCCAGACAAATTAAAATGTTTTTAAAACAATATCGCTTTGAAAACAAAATATGCTGTTTTAAAGTCAACTATGTTGCTGTTTATACATGCATATCCTTTTCATATCAAGAAGCTGACACGTATGTGTATACAATTCAAGAGGAGTACACACATTTGTCGATGTTTATGAATGACATAAATTTGTTGATGTTGTTGTTTGTTTGTTTGTTTTATGCCGGGTGGATTACTTGTGCGAGTGTAGTATTTCATGTACATGTAGTTTTTCTCTGTAAACAATGTCAAAAGAAAGGTAACATGCTTCTCTGTCTGTGAGATAAACTCTTTTGTCATTTAATCAATATTTTTGCCGATCATTACCCATTTGATAAACACGATCAACATACAAACCATTATATCGGAACTATTATTCTTATACAATTAAGGAATTAAGGAACAACACTGTTACTTTAGAAACGCCGAGTGTAACTAACAAAAGAATGTACGACAAAAGAATGCTCTTCAGAAAATAGATATTTTTCCTCTGAACAATTAACATAGGTTTTAAAGGAACATCAAATTTCTAAGTTTGTTCTATCAATGCATAATATTGGCTCAAAGTGTAGAATATGTGAAAAATTGTATATTTAAACTTTCAAGAGACGTTTGAAGATTATGAAGGTTTTCTTTTATTGGGAAATTTGTTGCATCCAGTTACAAAGAAGTTTCATAAAGGCTTCGTTTTCAAGTACGAGTAGTATATTGATGAAGGTAACATTATTATATATATCTAATATTACATCTTTTACTTTATCGTTCATGGAGGTATTGCATTTTTTTAAATAGCGATATGTACATTATTTACAATTTAGATATTTTATATTGATTTTAAAGGTTTCGTTTACACATGTTTGCTAATTGTCCAAGGCAACAATAGTATTCACTGGTTAAAAATAGTTTGTAAACTTTAAACTGTATTCTATATTATCTCAAATATCATCAAATTACACAATGCAACAAAAGACATACCTGCTATAACCACACAAAATATAACAAAAATACTGAAATTCATTTCACATTCCGTTTAACATTTACTGCTTGAATGTGACGAGGAAGTTTTAATATTATGTTAAATTGAAAATGTGCATTAAAATGCTTAACAAGTGCTACTTTAAATAAGTGAACTATTTCCTGACACACTTGCATTTGACCCTATAGTCGGTAAATTCAGTAAACGTTACGATCTTCTTGTAAACATATATGAATGTATATTACATGTTCTGAAATTGTCTTAATCATGAGTCCCTCTGCGCACTCGGCAAAAGCCTTTCACTTCATGAATATATGTTCAAATCCTGGACCAGATAAGTTTATTTCTTTTTTTTTATGATTTAAAAATTTCTATTCTCTTAAAACGAGTGCAAACCGTTTTTCTTTGGGTGTGTATATACTATCTATGTAATATTTTAATAAATGCATAAATAGCGTGTATGTGCTTAAGAATATACAATTGCATAATGTCCAAAGAAACCCGTTGAAAAATATGCGTTCTAGATAAAAACTTGCGATTATCTGTATGTGTGGGTATTTATGGAAATGTCTAGATAAAACAAAACGTACACCTTTATCAACATACTTGCAGAAATCTTTGATAATAGCAGGAGAACTATGATAAGATACAGAAAATAATCAAGAGAAAGAGGGGAGCTGACGTCACAACATCGCCCTTCATGCCGCGGCCAGTAAAAATCAGTGGACATTTTCGACTTATCTGTGATAAGAAACAAGGTGCACGAATTTTACGATGTTCGGCGCCAGTTCCCAAAAGAAATCCTGTATCCTGGCAGTCGGGAACTTCTCAGGAGAACACGCGTAATGGGCTACAGATGAAAGAAGACGGCTGACAACAGAACAATCTTACAGAAAAGCCTAATGTTGTGGCACAGAGGATGGCGTTTTATGAGAGGAAAACGACACTTAGAAGACAGAGGCTTCCATTATAAATATATTGATGAATCGTGGCGAGACACTTCCTACACATGCAAGACGTGTTGGCAAGGCCTGCAAGAAACAGATTTGTACCAGGAACCTGACTTCTATACAAAGCATCTTCATTTTCCGGCGACTGCTACTCTGAGATGAACGGTGAGACCTTTTAAAAATGATTACGGGATAATTTTTTATCAAACCTTCTTCCACTCTGTGCTATCGTGATTGATAATGCCAGCTATCACTCGGTACAGTCTGACAGATGCCACCACAGTTCTCAAAGGGAAATTACATTAAGGTACATATAGTTCAATTTTTTCATGAGGGAAATCGTTTTTTTCATGGATGCATGTATGTCAATGGTCATCTGTTTTTTAAAAAAAAACAGAATTTACTTAACAGTATGAAATATTCTAAATGTCATTTTAGATTTAAAGAGAGATACATTAGCAATAGAAGTTTAAACAGTAGTTATTTTAATAGGAAGTTAATAAATGAGAAAGTTTTATCGATATTAAATCCCTGGAGTTGCAACTCTGATTTAAACACCGGAAGCCAGCCACTTACAAACCGGAAAAACATAAGTAAACTTATAATCTAAAAATAAATTTAAAATACATGTGTGTCTACACTACACCATCAAGAAAAGTTAACATTTTCACCTCAAGGCGAAAATCAATGCCTAAGCCTATCTATTATGTGCTCCTTAAGCATTATAATAAGATATGTTTAATTGTGTTTTAATCCTAACATGTTTGCGATCCTAAAGATAAATCACATTGTCATTATTGCAATTAACAATTTATTTTAAAGGTTCCCGGGGCATGTTCAGATTGCAACATTTAAAATATTTTCGCGTTGAGAAGGAAATGTTTTTCTTGATTCTTTAACTTTTTTTAACCTTTCATAAATATTTATTCTTTTAAACACTGGCTCCTATAAATGTATCGTCTCATTTAATTCTGGTGAGACAGATTGAAATTCACTAGTTTAAAAAAAACACAGTTAAAACATGCTGCCATAGTAATATATTGTATGCAAGTGTATTTGTGCAGGAAACTTATATTTATTTTCTCTCATGATTTTACAATAATTGTTATTTATATTAAGGTGATCATGTTTAGGGTTAATAGGAAAATAGCTGCATCTTGTAATAAGATAATAAACAAATGTATCATTTTACATTCTTTATGACATTATAATCCGATCACGATAAACAGAAATGTCTTCATATTTATTTATAGTACGAACAGTCCATTTTAATACTGTATAGGTAAATGCATTGTTGCACGTCCCGATTGCGATTTTGACAGATAAATGTAAAAGTGAGGATGAAATGACGCAATAGCTCAATCGGTAGAGCACTAAGCTCTGAAGGAACCTACTTCATGGCTTCAAGAAAGTTGAGGGGGGTGGGGGGTCTAAGAAACTGCATAATGATAATGCGTTTATTATTTAATCGATTATTTATCATTAAACTTTTTATTCAAAGTATCTTTATCTCATTTATCCCCTATATCTTTTTTCCTTTTTTTCTTATTATAAATGTATAAATATTTTGAAAGTTTTAGGAGGAGAAATACAATATTTTTAAGTTCATATGCGTAAACAGATTTATTTTTATCTCAGCAGTAAGCAGTATAATAAAGAATTGAAACTTGAAAAAAAGAAAGACTTTTAAGCAGGTTTCGAACCCACTAGCTGAATTGGTTTTACTTATTGAGTTATAGAGTCAAACGAAGATAACATTTCGTATGAGTTCATTAGTAATAATTTGGTAAATCAATGGCAGTTTACCTATGTTTACCTGCGTTAATCTTTTAATGGACTGTGCTTGTATTTTTAGAACTGACTAAAGTTATGTTTATCGGTCTCGGATTTTATGACATCTAAAATACTTGTTTCTTTATTTAGTTTTAACGCCAATTGTAACACATTTTTATCAAATCTAGACGGCCGGTCCATGTAACCGATTTTTCTTGATAACTAACCAATAGTTAACATTAATTTCATTGTATGTGACCGGCTAATAATCACATATGACTCCTGATTGTTTGGTAAGAGGTAATGACCATTAGACTCAATGTCTAATATCAATTGCGAAGGAGAAGTTTCACCTCACCAAAGGATTGAACAAGCGATCCCTTGAGTACAAATGCTCTCCTTATTGAATTAAGCGGACATCTAAGATAGATGGAAATGTTTCACTACAATTCACCATGTACTATGTGTTTTATTATCAAATTTATTTTTTATTCAGCAAAATTGTAGCTACATATATATCTTCTTTTTTATTTTGTTTTAAATGTAATATTAACATTATTTGTACTATTTCTATCATTTTTAATAATCTCCTAATTTTGGTTTGTCAAATGTAATATTTCTTTAACAACATCTAATAGTTGTTAAATTACATTTTTATGACCAACTCTCGGAAATCACATGTGAAAATCAGGAACATCTGAATGAGTATAACTATATGAAATTTTCGATTGGACGTTTTTCAATTTCTTCTAAATTTTGAACAAGATATTTAGTAATACATTATTTTAAGATACCTGTTTTTAACTTTACAATGACATATTTCAAGGCATTTGATTACGCAAGGTTTCGTTAAACAAAGTGATAAACAGTAAAAATAACCTAAATAGTGCAAACGCTCAGGATCAAACACAATATCAATTTCCAGTTTTAACATCATTTAAAATACTCCTCTAAACCCCTTTTTGGAAAATGTAACAGAACACCACTAATAGAATGCTTTTGAGAAACAAAAATAATGTTAATATTGAGACTCCAGAGGCCTTTAATGCATTATACTGATGTTTAATTATTCATAAGATAAAATTGTGCCATTACCAAACTAATATTGTTTAAGGATAAATTTACTTTTCGTTATCTGTGATTAACACGAAAGGTTAAATAATTTCATCTTTTAGTGGTGTCCGCGTAATACTGGAAGATTGGAAAAACAAGTTGGTGTTTAAATACCTAATTTTTCTTATAATTTTAACAATGAATTATCTTTTAGAAATAGAAAAAGAAAAGAGAGAAAATAAATAGTCTATGCATATATAGCGGTATTACATGCGAGAACATGATACAAACTTTATATGGCCGCTGTAGAAACGTTCTTGTAATAGAGTTTATATATCTGCTATATATGTTCACCTTATTACAGGAAAAATAGCAACGTTCTTGCTTGAATTTATGAAAATGTTCGGATAGTAAGAGGCTGATTACTAAATATTATATTATCACAAATCGGTTTTCAATAAAGGAGTGGAATATCCTCTCATGTATGGCTTCTTCCTGTTGTTGACTTTTTAACGTGAAATTATATTTCTTCCAAGTATTTGTCTGTGCAGTAAAGTGAATAATACTTATATATTATCTAGCTATCAGTCACGTGTCTGTTTATATCACTTTAATGATAAATTTAAAAACATTTTCTTGGATCGTCGTCAAAAATGCTTTGTTTTGAGAAAAAGAAACACTTCTTTTTGCGTCGCGAAAACTTTTGCTTAACTTGCCATGGTTTAATAACTTCTATATAAAGTTGTGTTTTTTGAAATCATAAACATTTAAACTCTCACTTAATTGAACTTTACATACTATTATATTACTTTCGATAAATATATACAAACAATGCTAAAAATATTTTCGGGGTAATTAATAATACGTACAATCATATAGAATAATGTATATTTGCAAATGTTTAACAGTAAATGTTTTCTTAAATCCATTCTCTGTTTTTTTTGTGTTATCCGCTTTTTGTGAAAACATTATCTGTCCCATTTTTTCTATAAATTTTTAAATTACTTAAGATGTAATAATACTACACAAAATTGGAATATTGTCAATCGTTGCTAAAGACAAGAGAGTACCTATGCTGTGAGAAGATCTATTGAAGGCATTTGACCCGAATATGTCTTTATTTGCAAAGTTACAGTAAATATGTTACCATGTGCACATGTGCATCTGTTTCTAAAACACATGGTAAAAATATTTAAAATCAAATCGTTCTTTTTAATGAAAAAAAAAATCAAAGGAGGACACCTTTTAAGACTTTCAACAAGGTCAAATTGCAGATTCAGCTTAGTTATGCCTGTTCATGGACGGCAGTGATAAATGTATGCTACCTTTAC